AAAAAAAAAAAAAAAATAAAATAAAAAAATAATTGTAAATAGAACATAGAAATTAATTACCAAACAAATTTAAAGAAATGAAAAAAGAGGAAAATCGATGGTACCCAGAAGCGAAAGAAGTGATCTTTACTCTCCCAACAATGTCAAAAACAAGGAAAAACTGCACACGAAGTTGTTCGAAATACAGGCAATTAGGGGAAAAAAAGGTTATCTTTTTAGTACAATATATGATGTTAAATGGCAAAATTTCGCACAAGGTTACGAGGATTTAAGGGAATATACATAAGAAAGAAGAGGGAGTTTTAGGGAAGGGTTAATAAAGAGACTTACAATGAGGGAATCGGACAACTAAAAGGTAAGAAATCTTTCTTTGCTAAAGCAAGAGATTGAGTGTTCTTGGATCAGCACTGTAATTCAAAAATTTTGTCCATGTACAATTTGTTCGATATATACATGTGGAGAGAGAGAGTTGGCTCAAGTGGTAAACAGTTTGATGTCGCTTAAGCAATGTCTCGGGTTTGAGTCTTTGTGGATGCAGAAAACCCTTGTTGGGAGACTCACCCACCACTGTCAGGTGTGCGACTTGGGTCGACCAACGGATTAGTCGGGGTATAGTTCCAAAACCGTGACTGGCTAAAAAAAAAAAGAGAGAGAGAGAGAGAAAGAGAGGGGTTTAGATACAAATTTTTCTAAAAAAATTCAATTATCTTTAATCAAATTATTTTTTTTACTCAAATTTAACTCAATTTTAATTCAACCACACTATTTTCAATATAATTAAATAATATCAATCAATCTGTTATTATATGTTACATAAAATTTAATTCTTTATTTATTGACATAAATTTAAATAACCATCATTTCCCACTATCTTTCCTACTTTTAAATCAAATCAATTTTAATTATTTTATTTTAAATATTATTTGATTATAAATTAACTGACAATTAACCATCCACTTTTTTCAAATTTAACTATACCAAACCAAAAATATCCAAACAAAACCAAAATAATTTATATCCAAACATTAGAGATTTTCTATGCCTTTCAAATTTTTGAAACAATAAGTGCCATAATAGAAATAGAATAGTGCATTTGAGACTTTGAGCATCTATATGTATATAGTATACGGTTTTGCTATGAAGTCAACAGTTGGCTCC